TTTAAAAAATATAAACGAGGTGTGTCCTTCGTTTCTCAAAATATCCTAGAGTTACGTAGACTCCACCGATAATCTAACGCAAGATACTGATTGTCGAGGTTCGAATTGATGAAGTAATGTTGCGGGTTGCGTATATTTCAACGCGGTGACATGTTTCACGTGGAATACTATTTGTATCGCATTTTGTCTGGCTATTGGCAGCGGCGGACGACCTAAAAATAAATCCATTTTTTTGTTTTAGAATCCTCAGGAGCGTAGAACCCTCAATCGATTTTTGATGAACACTTCATGGTGATATGGCTTCTGAGATTACGAAATGACTAAATGATGATAAAAAAGGAAGAATTTATTTGTAACAGAAAGAAAAAGAAAACTGTTGTAAATACCGCTTAAAAGTCATGGGTCAGACGTATGCAAGCAGGAATCGTTAGCTATTTTTCGATCGATATCTATTTTAGTTTTCTAAAACCTAAGAAGAAATCAGTCTTTTGATATATCACTTCGTTGCTGCGCTGCACGAATAACGCTCATGTACGTTTCGAAAAAGACCTCGAGCTTTGAAAGTTTATGCGAAATGCTAAGTGGTTGATTCTTTATGAACCACCAATTATTCTCATTAGAGAGTCGGGATGGCGATATTCGTGATCTCTGTTGAATTCTCTATCTCGAACGGTGTATAAATAAACGAAATCTATTTTTTACTGCAAGTCTCCCTTACGGGCATCTTACTCATTTAAAGAAAATTCTCAGCTCTACAACATGGAGAAACGTATTTTTTACGATCATGTAAAAAAAGTCTTTCTGAGCACTTTCTGTAGAAAAATCATGCTTTTTAAACCGCGGCTTTTAGGAGTAATGAGATAAAGTCTTTTCCATTTTTGATTATGTGTTGCAATTTTTTTTTTCAATCGTTTTATGCTCATTTTATAGAGAATTTTTAGCTCTACAAAAGAACAAAACTTATTTTCTGATCCCATGTAAAAGAAAACCTCTATGATAAATTTATGTGAAAAAATTGCGTTTTTTAAATGATGGCTTTTGAGAGTAAGTTGGGCATATTACATCAACGATACATCAATAGATCTGCACTAATGTATCCTTTTGTGCCGTTATTAATTCTCTTTCGAACGACCTATTGCTCAAAAAAATTGTACGTGTCGTTTTTGACTTATAGTCAGAATACTAAAAAATTGTAAGAGACATATGTGCCTTTGCAAAATATTTGAGTTCCTTCCAAAAAAATGTCATAACTCTGCAGTAAAAAGACGCCGAAAACTACAATTTTGGATTTACACGTTATTTCGTACCGGAAATCGAAGGAGGCGGCTTTGAACGAAAAACAGATTTTGACTTGTTATGATCTTTTAAGCAGATGCTTGATCGACTGGTGGAGCCTCTCTTAAGAAAATTTTTATGAAACACTCTCCTATGCAACATTATCGAGACGATTTGCTCTTAACGTTGTTTTGCTCTATCATAATAATCGGAACAAATCCAAAAAGTGATTTCAATGGCTGAAGAGTTCTTCAATTATAGGAGCGATGCGTATGCAAGTTTCATTAAAACTGACTGATATGTTATCTCTAGAAATCAGAATTCCAGGCAATCAAATTTTTAAGTTCAACCAAAAACTTTTTCACACAACTCGGTGGTATAAAACAAACTTTGCTGGGCAAAATGAGACATCTCCGAGACATTCTTATGTTGAATCGTATTCATTAAATGTAAGGTACAGCACATGAAAACCAGCAAAATCGACAAGAAAATAATGAAAAATGGGACCTGGAGTCGCGTCAAAAAACTTAGTCGCCTCGCCACCCATTTTCAAGACTTACTCATAGCGCACACTGATCGCGATAGGATTTTTGCTGATAATTCAGCGACGGATCCAGTCATTCTGCGACACACGTGCCTTTCGAACAAAAAAGCTAGTCGAACTGTTCCAGAATAATTTATTTCTATGACAACCGCACCTATCTCATAAAATCATTTTATGATTCACTCATGTATTTTCTTTAAATCAGTATTTATATTTTGACAAGTCTTTTGGTTTTGCAAAATCGAGGAAAACTATGATTACATCAGTTAAGCTGCCCAAAATTTCAACATGTACTCCACTTTGTCTGCTCAACTTGGTCCTGCAATTAAGATTATAAATGTATATGGTCTTTCTTCCACCGAATTCTGGAAAACCTTTCACAAACAAAAGAAATGCATGCTGGTCTTCATAAAACCTTTTTCTAAATGCAGAATATACGGCAAACAAAATGGAGTAAATGTTGAAATCTTGCAGTAGTCACGATCGATTTTGACTGAGTTATGAATTTCTTCATTTTCGGTGAAAACAGCCAGAAATACATTATTTCACCTACTATAGATGATCACTAGATTCTTCAATTTTCTTCAAAAAACAAACACTGTCAAGAGATTCGATGAGGCCGAAAATCCATGTTTGGATTTATTTTTAAGGTTGCAAGAACTAACCGGACTTGGAGATCCCATTAAAATCAATGCCATCCGAGAACCATCGGATCTTGCGTTCTCGGCCTTTTTTAGTTTTTTAGAGCACACTTTGGGCTATCTAATCAAGTAGTTTTCAGTTAAATATTTCGACCGCTTCTTTTTTCACTTGTTAGATAGGGTACCGGAAATTCAAAAGGAGGGGGGCCATTTTGTGTTGGAATCGGCCCGTTAGCCAAACTCAGTTTTATTCACAGGGTAAGTACAATGCGAATAGATGAGTTGAACCGGACATCTTCGAAACCTTAGAACTACGTCTCAAGAGAAATTTTGTCACTTGAATATACATAAGAATAGCCCAGACATATCTGTCCTTCTGTCCGGAACGCTCCCAAGACACTAAACAGCGCCAATGTATTGGGTAAAACCCAAAACACAAACGACTCTAAAACTTGGATTGATCTCAAAACTGCCGTTTTCTCGCATGGACAGCTTTATGTCGCATTGTCATGATCAAGAAATCCTCAGCAAGTGAAAGTGCGAATTCAACCAAACCCCCAACAAGGACAACTGCTGCAAGATGAACACCAATTTACCCGCAATGTTGTTTTTAAGGAAGTCTTCCAACTTTGAATTTTTAAAAAATAAAATTTAAATAAAATTGCGTGCCAAGTAAACTGAAGCTTCTATGGTTTTCAATTCAAGAAACTCGATCATAACTTCTAGAGCGAACCATAAGCACCACCTTGCTCAAACTTGAAGTCATCGCTCGCCCTACTTATGGCCCGTTTTTCCGACTCTACAGAAGCTTGCCACATAGAAAATTTTTACAACATATATATAAACGCTGGGCGTCCGTGGTTTTCCACGGGTTATTTCTAGTATTTTATATATTGACACATAACATATTGAATATTCCAACAATCAGAAAAAGAATTTTGATTTGAGGTATCCATATGTCGATTATATCTAAGGCAGAACATGGAAAGTTGCTCTCTAAAAACAAACCTTTTCTGGGTATGAGGCCTCTACGCGACGGGAGGGAGACCGTTGGCTCCCTACAGATCCCGTTCATCATGATGACTGGCCAACATCCGACCACAAGTCTGAACGGCTCATTTAAGACAGTCTCTTGTGCAATCTCCGGCGGTGAACGCATATGTCTATCAAACCCCAGTGTTATTTGTCTTCTGTTTCTATAAAAGTCACATTCCTTTATTCCTTGTGCTCTTTCTTACTTTGGCAAACACGTGAGTTTTCCTAAGTCAGGTAAAGTAAGTAACGTAGAAAATACCAGAGTTAGAAGGCTGAAACTTTCGGTGATAATAATAGATATCTAGCACAGTAACGGAAAAAATTTCAGCTCTTAATTCGCTATTTTGACTAAATTACGAAATTTTTAGTATTAGTAGGTTCCCTTGTAAAAAAGTTCATAACTCTGAGAAGTACCATGACACCAAATTCTTTTAGGGGTTCCCTCGTCAGATATGCCGACCAGAACACGAAAGCGTTATCTGATTTTCCCAGCGATAGACTTTTTCTTTAAAACTTTAATTTCGCAACATTTTATTCTGTCGGAGACAACACTGTAAGTCGCACTAACTTCTGGCGCCAAACACACATAATTTAAGAAACAACTAAAACAGTCACTAATTCTACTTCTTGATAGGGGTGAGACAAATCCAGTTCAGTTCTTGTTACTGCTTACCAGTTCTTTTCAAAAGAACAAGAAAATTTTGTGCTACTAATATATTAACTTCAATTAATAAGTATTAGTTCTTTTTATACATAGTAGTGTGTAAAACTATCTGCTCTTTGGAATGGCGTTTGAACTGACTCTCTAGCATCGATAGTAAAAAAGATATATCAAAAACAAAACTTACGGTTTATTTTCCCCATCTCTGTATATAATAGAGCATCAGCGAGGAGTTTGAGATTTACCTCTTCAAATTTCCTTCTATCTACAACTTGAAACAAGGCAAAAGTTTCTTCAAATGTTCTTCGGAAATAGTTTGTCATTTGTGCACGAGCCTAAGCGCATATTGTGGCGTTGTTCTTGTGTATACATACTTGACATCTATTTTCGTGTTTTGCAGTTTGCTAAATTTCAACAACGAATTGCGTCGAGATTATGAAAAACTAAAAGAAAAATCATCGTACAACGTTCAACTATGCGATTTGTGTATTGATATCTAGATTAAAGAACGAAAAATAATATTTTATTATCTGTATCTTCAAAAATCTCTTTTTTCCCTCTAATCTATCTTCTTATTTAGTTTATGCAGCTTTCTGTATTTTCCGAATCTCTTCATTCTCAACAATTTTCTTGTCATTTTTTCTCATTATTATTCTCATTCTCATTTTTTCTCATGGTTTTTTACAATTACTAAATGCTCTTCTTTTTACAATTTTTTTACTGGTGTTTATTTTAATAAATTTTCGAATTTTTTATCTCATAAATAACAATGTATCTAAGATCATCAACGTCAACAGTAAACATGCAACGATCAAGAAATATCGGAACCTTTTGTTTTTCACATATGATATTTCTTTTACATGTGTCGACGGTATTATTAACTATAGTCAATGCATTATCAAGTGAAATATATGGCGATGGCGATAGTGAAAGTAAGAGACGATAATAGAGTGACTAAAATTGTCTTTCTATGACTTATTTTTTGGATGAATTTTAGTCAAGATTATGTTCAGGTGTCGGATAAATCTCAAAATAAATTCCCTTTTTATTGTTTTGACTAGCAGAAAAAATTCTGAAGGAACTATGACCAGATGTGGTTTGCACGATGTCATGCGTAACAACATTGCGTTTTATAAACAATTCAGAGAAGTGTATTTCTGCGTTGAAGTTACTCTCTATTCTTGACATCCTTCTTACAAATGTTAGGAATATAAAACCTTAGATAATGTTTTCTTTCCTACTTTTTAGCCATCATTCAATTATCAAACGATGCAATTTATGTTGTTAAATCATCTGCTCAAACGTTTTCTTTGGTAAGTCTTTTCTAGAGAAAAAAAACGTCATGAATTTAACGTCGGTTTTTATTGTTTTAGAACAGAGACGATTCAAATAACGATAATAATGATCTAACTGCGTTATTACTATCATTATATAAAGAAAATTACCATCTTAATGACATCGATGAAGCTGTCATAAGCAATATTGAAGAAGACATAGAAGAAACAAACCAAACTCCCATAACATCGACCATCGCTTACCCTGATTTATCTGTATTCAGTAATTCAATAAAAGAAATCTTAACAACTTCGATATCATCCTTAGTCCAATTTATTCCTGCTATTCTTGATTTTGATGTTCAGTAAGTATCTTTCGTTCACCGTTTTAAATAATACTCGTTTCTCCATTTATTTTTTCTCTCTCTTTCAGATCAATTGGTGTTCCCCGTGTTCATAGTGTTATTGTTATTAATAACAGTCCTGATACATTAAATTTAGAATCAATATCTGGCACAACTGTCCAATTTTATTGTTCATTTTTTACCCAAAAATCAGTTCCATCCAATTCAAATACGTCTTTCAATATTTACTTTTTACCTCGATCCTTAGGCAAAGCTCATAGTACATTGGTTATCAATAGTAATCAAGGAATATTTCATTATTCGGTATACAATGGATTTCAGAAGATTTTATCAGTTTCTTCTGTGATAAATTCTATTTTTAATTATAAAATTTTAGGTGTTGGGTACTGGTTTGCCAAATCCATTTCGTTTACGTCCCTATGTGGGTGTCCATATTCCATTGAATACAAGTTATCAACAATTTGTTCGTCTTCATAATCCGTATAATCGTACACTAGAAATTACCGAAGTTTATACAAGTGATGATGATCTTGTCATTGTACCACCTGCTATCGATAATATTCATTTGTTAAAATCATCATCATCAACAACAACAACAATAATAAATAATAATTTTTTATTTGCTTCCACTTCTGATGACACACTTCCAAATGGTTCTCCTATTCATCATTTTCATTTTCATAAAGATTATTGGACTTTAAAACCATATGAAACAAAAATTATAATGAAATTAAATTTTTTAGCACGAACAATTAATAAACACTCAGCATTTTTATGTATTAAAACAAATTTAAATGATACAATTATACTTCCAATTGAAATGGAAGTATCAAATCAACCAGGTTTATATACAAATATTGATTTAATTGAATTTGGAAATGGAGTAATTAGATCAAATGAAGAGCCAATTACAATTCAATTGTATGTGATAAATAATGGACCAAAATTACTCACAATCTCTGTGAGTATTTTCAATTTTTTGTTGAATAAACTAATTGTTAGACTATTCAATGTTTTAGGATGTTCGTTTGAATCATCCCACAGATGCAATAACAATTCGTTTTGAACACGTTTATTTACCAGTTGATATCTATCGTTTAAATAAAATAGCTGAAATAACATTGGATCCATCTAAAATTCCAACAGATATCGAACAACTATCTGGCCTCATACAAATTCGTACAAGATCATCAAATCACTATGAATTACAAATACCTTATCGTATAACTATTTATCATGGATCATTAGATTATGAAAAAGAGAAAACATTTTTCTTCATTTCATCATCTCTATCACCAACATCGATGACATCAAATGACTGTGATAAATCATCAAAATTGTGTGAAAAAGATCTCGAACAATGTCGTCATATTTCTGTTATCAATCGATTTAGTTATCCATTAGTTATTCACAATGTTACATTTGGAGAGGAAACGATTCACAACTACATTAATGTAAGAGAAAAAACACGTTTAATTAGATATGAATGATTGGATCAAATATAATGCGAAAATCTTACCACTTCGATTTTAAACTTAAAAGATAGAGAATGTTTCGTTCTACAAAATCTTGTACATCCGCTATTTACGCGTTGTTTGATTATTTGGGAAGACGCAGAGGAAGGATAAGCAAGATGCATAACCTCGACGAAAGCAATAGGTGTAATCTGGTTCTGATACTCAATCTAATTGATTATGTAATAATGTTTCTAGCAGCTATTCATCTCAGGTACTTTCTGTTAAGAAAGCATCGTCATTCAATTAATCGACATCGTAAATTAAAATTATTGCTAATATTTTGTTAGTGATATTGGATGATTTGAAAATGATAGGATGCTATTGTATCGAACATATTACGATGTACCGTATGGTGCTAGGAATCCGTTCATCAAATGAAAGACAGAATTGTCTACTTTATAAAAGCCACTATGTGTTACACTCGAACCATAGTCTCTGACTAATTTTTTTCTGCTTTTTTACCAAATATGACGCCACATGAAATGATCATTTTTCTTGTTCACCAAAACTTTTTAATTTTGATGTCATATGAACAAGCAGTCTCACCAAAAAGATGGCTCTAACTTTAATGAAGATTTCTATACTCATTCTCTTCGCTCAGTCCCCACGTTAGTACTCAAAAGCTGAAAAGTCACTAAAATTTTGAATGAGCACCCCTCCTCCCAGCTATACGTCTTGCTTACCCTTCGTCTGTGTTTTTTCTTCTTCAAATAAATAGCGGAGTGTAAATAGCGGATATATAAGATTTTTTAGAACGAAAAATTTTCTGCCTTTTAAGTCTAGAACAAAATTTTAAAACCTAATTGGAGTAGCAAGATTTTCGCATTATTTTTGATCCATCTGTTACTTAGATTTTGTTCAGCAGAGATGCATGCACTTCGACTATGTTAAGTCTTTGCTTGTACCAACTTGTTTATTGTTAGATCAACTATTGATCGATTACAAAGTGTTCAATCTGTGATTTGCACCATAATACATGTCTTCATTATGTCTATTGTTTGTTTTTATTTAGCTCAATTATTCTTCGGAGCCAATTTATTTATCGCCTGGTGAAGAAAAAATACCATTTTGTTTAAAATTACAACGAACATCAACATTGGATAAATTTGTCAATATTGAAGATTCGATTGTTATTCATACGAATTTATCGTTTTTTCATTTACCCATTTATTTATACAATGCACAATTAACAGTAAATAATTACGTAAATTATCGATTCAACCTTACTCATAGATGTTCTCTGTTTTTAGTTTAATTTGTTTGATGGAGGTATGGCTAGTTATGGAACAATATTGTTAAATTTAAATAATATTTTGCTATCGAGTATCTACGTGAATACAATGAAAGAAGTAAAAATTGTAGTCTCAAATTCAAATCCAATTGAAATATCAATAGAGAAAATATTTTCAACTTACTCGCCAAATTCATCGATTCAATTATTGTATATGAAACATTTATCTAGTAATAAACGAGTTATATTCAATAAATCTTACACCAATTTAGATATTGCCAAAGTAAATGAACAGCGATACATTCTTTGTTTTTGATACTAATTCTGATATATTAAATTCGACTTTATTTCTACCGAACACGGTTGTAAAACAAATTTATTCAGTACAAATAAAGTCGAGTTCAAAATATCGAAATCGTTTTTTTTCTGTAGCCGTAGTAAACTCTACTGATTCATCCATACGTTTGACAATGAATTTGTCTTTTCTCTAGATATGTAATAGTTAAGAGAGATCACTTACAAAAAGGCAGTCTCGCGGACTGCGCGTGTAGTAAGATCCTGTTCAATTTTCGAAGGCTTGAGCTTCTGTACCACTAAAAAGCGGTTGTACAACAAATTTATTTTTGTAGTATTATTTTAATATTTTTCAGCTTGTGATACCTGCTCAACACCAAGCCATATTTTCCATCTTCATCAATGGAACTAATATACCCAAAGCATATATTGAATCGATCAAATTTGAAACACCATACCAGGTAGAACGCTTTTTTGTCTGATAACTGCTAGCTATTATAGCCGCCAAAATATAAGGCACACCGTTGTTTTTTGAATAACTCGAGAATGAAAAGTGATAAAGACTTACGATTTTCGTCATTCGATAGCCAAGGCTTTGGAGCATCCGTAAGCAGAAAGTTTTTTGAAATTGTATCTCAAAAACCGGTTGTCTGACGAATCATCAGAAAACCATTTCATAACCCAAAAACTTAACATAGCAATATATTATTTATTCATCATGGATAGATAGTCCAAAGTGTCCTCTTCGAAACCGGAACTAAGCAAACTCTTAGTTTTTCGTAGCATTGGACTTCCTGGGAGCCACAGGATTGATACTTCTTACCTACATTAGATGAAATAACCCATTTTTGCCTATTTTTGCGCAAAATTAGAAAACTCATAATGCAGTCGAGATCAATCCAAACTATGTCAGAATATCAAGATATACTCTATCTGATCTACTTGATATGCCTTTTTGACTTAAAATTAGTGAAAAATGTTCTTTTATTTCGAAAGATATCTAGAAAACCTTTTCAAAAATCATAATATTTTCTGTTACTTTTTATAACCTTTGTTGCGCTGCATAATACAGTGTAGATCAAATAGAATATATCTTGATATTCTGACATAGTCTGGATTGATCTCGACTGCATTATGAGTTTTCTAATTTTATGCGAAAATAGGCCAAAATGGGTTATTTCATCTAATATAGGTTTACACTAGCTTTTTGAACTATTTTCAAAAACGAACATTGCCACGAGACTCTCGGTGTCCGATAACCGATGTTTCTATTGGTTTTTGGGATTACCCCATCTAAAGAAGTATCGATCCTGTGGCTCCTAGAAAGTCCAATGCTACGAAAAACTAAGAGTTTGCTTAGTTCCGGTTTTGAAGAGGACACTTTGGACTATCTATCCATGATGAATAAATAATATATTGCTATGTTAAGTTTT